CCCCCAGGCGTTCCTGACATGGGTAGGTGAGGTGCAGCTCAGAGTTACAGCTGTCCTTTCTGATGTCCAGCCTCGAAAGGAAATATACATGTCAATATCGCAAAGACCCCATGTGGCACACATGGGGAAGGAGACGTACTCTGCTCTCATATCTTCTTCACAAAAGAAGGCCACACGATGGTCTAGGACTGAGGGAATGCAGAGTGTCATAAGGAGATGTGTATCCATCACCAAAAGAGCTAAAGAGGACAGAAACACAGACCGGCTGGCCTAAGACATCCAAGGCATTGTGGGCGTGCAGTTTAGCTCATCCAGTCCCATTTGGGCACCCTCCCTCCTAAAGCCTCCCCAAGGGTCGAGTTAGGCAGCATGCCCATTGATTCCTTTTTTGAGCACATACTCCTTTGAAGCTTGGTTTTGGCATTTTACCTGGCATCCAGGCCCTGTTGCACATGGGTTCTGAAAACTGGGACATTATCTCCAGTTTACAGAATTCCTGCAAGTGTTCCTGCGATTGATTTACACACACGCTGTCCCTACACCCCATGCCCTGTGCACCACAGGTACCAGTACCCTGACCACGCCCCTTCACTCCTGACACCAGCTGCTCTATGCACTCCCACTCACTCTCACGGGCCCCTGAGGCCCCCAGGGAGTCACCAGCACACACCACTCTCACTGTCTGGGAGAGGGGGCTGGGGTGTTGGAAACTTTAATCAAGCAGGGACGGTTAACAGCTGCAGGGACACCCTAGGAAAGAGTGAGCCTTCAAAAGGATATACTTACGGACTCTGTCCCCATGACCTTTTAAGACTTATGAAAATGACCTGTCATTTCCCGCCATGGAAAAAAACCACAGCCATCACATGCACCCTTCAGGCCCCAGAATCCTCCACGCTTAACCCTCCAGGCAGGCTTGGGCAGAGATGCTCGCTTCTCACAGACGCCCCAACAGACTGCAGAGACCTGGGGATGCGGGTGCATGCTTGCACACTCACACCCATGTGGATGTCTGCCTCTCCCCCCGACACGTTTCTCAGGTGACAAATGTGTTTTTCTGTGTCAGTGGGCACTTTTTCTGGGCAGGCTGGGTGACACTGTTGGGCCGAGCTCTCATCGGACCCAAAGGTCGATCACCCCTCCACACACCACTAACCGTACACTACGAGCTGCTAGCATGCGGGGAGGACCTCTTTCTCCTTCCTTTTTCCTCCCTGCAGCTGCGGGTTGGGGGAAGGGTTCTGAGGGGGAGGATGTCACCGACTCAGGGTGGGTTTTTCCCACCTCCATACCTTGTCTTGCCCCAGCCTCTTCTCACCCACAGTGAGCCCTTCGGGGGTCACATTCTGATAAAAAGAACTTTAGGGAGCCCTCTGCACCTCTGCTCAGCACGCACACCCTCCCCCCGTTTCCTCTCCTCCAACAGCCAGGCCTCTCAGTCCCTGGCCTTCCCCCACAAATGCCCCCTTTTTCACTGGGGCTGGGAGTAAAGGGACAGTTAGTTTCTGCTGTATAACAAAGTGAATCAGCTATACCTATACATATGTCCCCATATCTCCTCCCTCTTGCGTCTCCCTCCCTCCCACCCTCCCTATCCCACCCCTCTAGGTGGTCACAAAGCACCGAGCTGATCTCCCCGTGCTATGCGGCTGCTTCCCACTAGCTATCCATTTTACATCTGGTAGTGTATATATGTCCATGCCACTCTCTCACTTCGTCCCAGCTTACCCTTCCCCCTCCCCATGTCCTCAAGTCCATTCTCTACGTCCGCGTCTTTATTCCTGTCCTGCCCCTAGGTTCTTCAGAACCATTTTTTTTTTTTTTTAGATTCCATATATATGTGTTAGCATACGGTATTGGTTTTTCTCTTTCTGACTTACTTCACTCTGTATGACAGACTCTAGGTCCACCCGAGGGACTTGTTAACAAAAGAATTTTACTAGGAAAGTACAAGAGAAGCCAAAACCAAACCGAGAAGAAAGCAAAACCTTGGCTGGTCCAGAGTCTGCCCGCTCAGAACCCAGCCCTGCTCTTTGCCTCCCCTCTGAGAAGCTGCAGTCCATCTTCATCCCCATGTAAGTCCTTTGCTCATCTGCTCCCTGACCCCCAACAAGGTGCATGAATAGTTAGTGCTGAAGGTTTTTCCAGAGGCACACAAACTGTGGTGTCCCTCACCCTCACCCTCAGCCCGGTCTTTCCCAGAGCTTCTGCCTCTTGGACTCAGCTTGCTGGGTCTGGCTCAGATACTGGAACACAGGGGTCACGTCAGTCTGCCAGAAGGCAGGAGGATGGGACAAGGAAGAGGCTGACTGGCCACAGGTGTGATCATTAGGGCAACAAAGGTGGAGGAGGCCAGGGAAAGGCTGTGAAGCGAGAGTCTGGGGGGTGTTTATACAGGACAGTCAGTTTGGTCCCAGATGCTCTGCATCCTCCAAAACGTTGCCTCATTCCCAGGAAAGGCTTTGGACTGAGAACTTCTCTGTGTGTGGGATTCTCAGCATCTCTGTAGCACTACAGTAGAAGGGGAACCGGGTCCACCCTGAAAGCCCCCAAACTGATGGAGAGAAAAGTCCCACCAAATCAGGGACCCCCCCCCCTTTCTGGGAACTCATATCTACTGGGAACCTCAGGATGAGGAGGAGGTAGGGCTCCACACTAGGACCCCTCAATCTGATGGGGAGGATGAAGCCCCACCCTGGAGCAATGATTAGGGACATCCTCTTTGGTCAGTTGAGCACAAAAGAGCTCTGACTGCACATAGAAAGCCCGTGGACTGGGCAGCCAGGAAAGAAGCGTGGGGCAAATCAGGGTAGACGATGAGGGTGGGCGTTCAGAGCCCAGCACTGTCAAGGAGGAGCACAGGCAAGACACAGGGACAGGCCTGAGTATTGGTTCTGTGACACCCCACAGCCCTGAACCCCATGCTCTGGACCTCAGGTTCCCCTCCCCTGCCCCTCTGGCCGGGGCTCAGGGATGCCGTCTGCTTCACTGAACCCATCTGTCTGAGGCTGGGTCACATCTTCCTCTTTTGTGACTGGAAGTCACAGGGCAAAGCACTAAGCTGTGCAGTCACGGAGGGAACACAGAGCCTAAGAGTGTGAAGGGACAGAGGGGAGAGTGGCAAGAAAGCCTGGAGCTGGTGGAAGAGGAGGGAGGCGAGTGGGAGCAGAGGTGCTCAGGACCATGGCTGAGGCCATCACCTATGCAGACCTGCGATTTGTGAAGGCTCCCCTGAAGAAGAGCATCTCCAGCCGCCTAGGACAAGGTAAGGGAGGATAAGTTGTCTCCTTGATTCTGCATCTCCATCCTCCTTGAAGACCCCACTCCCACCCCAGAGACCCCAATCCTGACGCCACCTTTCCTCTCCTCTCCAGACCCAGAGGCTGATGAAGACGGAGAACTCACCTATGAGAATGTTCAAGTGCCCCCAGGCCCAGGAGGACCCTCAAGCTTGGCTTCCGCTGGATTAGGGGACAAAGCAGGTCTGGAGAGCCCAGGGGATGTGTGTTTATGGGGGACTGTGTCTTGCGCTGGGGAGTCCACAGCATTCTTGGGAGGACAATACCCTTGGAGAAAGGCTGGGGATTCTCAGGAAGAGAATGAGCACCAATTATGGGAGCTAAGGAAGAATAAAGCTCCCAGGGGGTAAGGTGGAGATCCCGGTGGGGAGCTAGGGCTCCACGGAGGGATCAGGGCAGCCCTGTTGAGGAGCTGAGCGCGAGTGGGAAATGAGGAGTCCCGGGAGAGAGAAGAGAGGGGAGGGGGGAGGGGGGAGAGCACTCCCGGGGAGAGGGTTTTGGCAGGCAGATGAGGGCCCCCAGAGTAAAAGATAAAGGGAGACCCAGGAGGGCGACAGAGGGTCCCCAGGGAAAGGATAAAGTAAGACCCAGGAGGGACACGAGAGTCCCAGGGGAGATACGGAACTCCGGAGAGCGCTAAGGGTGTCCCAGAGCAGTGGCAGAAGGCACCTTAGGACAGACTGGGGTCTCGGCGCGGTGGAGGGGGTGAGGGTGGGGAGAAGGGGTATTTCCTGGCTTTCCCACCTTCAAACTGGAGTCGATCCCTTCCGCAGGGGTCCAGTCGGAGCAGCCAACTGCCGCCTGGAGCCCCGTGACGTCACCAGCTGCCGGGCGGATTCTCCCCTGTAAGTACCCGGTCCTCCCCGCCCCGCGCGCGCCACCCGCTGCCCAGCTCGTCTCGGGCCAGCGAGTGGGGGCGGGGCGCGGCCTCGGGCTGGGCAGCCCTCCCCCGCCAGGCCCCCCCGGGGTGGTCGCGGAGTCAGGTGCTGGCACCGGTCCCCGCGGGAGGTGGTGCTGGGCCCCGCTGTGTGCAGGTCTGGCCCACGGATGGAGCCCGGGGCGCAGCCCTCCGGTCAGCCCGGGCAACCCCGTGACACCCTCCCCTGCCGCTTTCACCCTCATCCTTAGAGAGATCTTTCCGACGCATCGACCCAGATCCTCTGCCCCCTTCCCCCTTGCTATGGTCCCCATTCACGTACCCCCCTCTCCGGTCTCCGTCTGAGATTTAGTTCCCGGTCCTACCAGGTAGTGCCCCTCAGTCCTTACCGGTAACAATCCCCAGCCCTTATCCGGGAACACCTTACCTCCTCCACCTGCGGAAACTCTGCCGGACAGAAGCCACCACGCGTGCTCCAAGTCCTCTGCGGGATGCTCTTTCCCGTGAATGTCCTCCACCCACACCCCCTCAGTCTACCAACTTTCGTGGGGCTCACTGCCCCCCAACCCACTGTCTCCCTAAGGCCAAGCATCCTACAGGCAGTACCTCTTCCTGGGCCTGCTCCTCACCTGCCTGCTGTTAGGGGTGGCTGCCATCTGCCTGGGAGTGCACTGTGAGTATGGCTGCCCCCCATTTCCCATTTACCCCAGACAACATTCTCCCCCACTCTCCCCAACAGCTGCCCTGCCTCAGCAGGGCCCGGAATCACTACCACCACATCCTCAGCTTTCGTCTGGCTTCCAGCCAGGTCTGTTTCAGAATGCCGTGACTTCCTAAATTGTCCTCACCTAATCCAGTACCTCCTTAAGCTTTAGGCAGTCAGATCTTATGTTCCATTCCAGCCTGTTATGCAAAAAGTTGCAAGAAGCAGCAAAAGGACTGATGCTGAAGCCTCAGGGTACCAGAGCATGGCTGAAGATGTCCTCCAAATCTCTCTTTATGGCCAAACAGATTTCCAGGTGTCTCAGCAGCTCCAGCAGATGAACAGGGTTCTGGAAGCCACTAACAGCACCCTGAGGCAGCAGCTGCGCCTAAAGATAACCCAGCTGGGGCAGAGGGAAGAGGATTTGCAGGGGTCCAGGAGTGAGCTGGCCCAGAGTCAGGAAAGACTACAGGTGGAACAGAAGGTTGGCCAGGCTACCAAAGAGCAGTTGCAGGCCTGCCAGTCAGATGGGGAGAAGACAAAAGAGGACTTGAGAAATAAGGAGATACAAAGGATGAACTTGGAGCAGAGGCTGAGCAGCGTGCGGGACACACTGAAGCCCTTCTTCACATGCCCCTCACCAGGTATCTGCTCTGGGAAAGGGGAGATGGTAGGACCTGCCATGAAGGATGGATTGAAGCGAGGGGTCTATCTATCTATTAGGGAGACATTGAGTTGTTCAGGAAAGGGGTAATGAACCAGAGTGCTGGCTGACATGACCTGTGCAGCCTGGGCCAACAGGGTGAAGGACCTAGCTGCATACTGGTTTTAGGGAGGGCTCACCCAGCTCTAAGGCTGATCCTGTAGGGGAGAAGAGGGTGGCAGCCAGCAGTGCAAATGACACTGTCCAGAGCAGCAAACTCAGGGCTCACCTGGCTTGACATCAGTGTCAAGGATCTGGGAACCCCCTGAATTTGGATGTGAAATTGATTGTTTGCATGTTTTTCTAAAGAGAGGACCTGTAGCTTTAATTAATTCTCTCTACATCTGAGATTCCCCAAAAGATTAAGAATTACTGATGGATGAGGTACAGTCTGGGGCTGGAGCAAGGCAGCTGAAGCTCTCGCAATGAGGTGGGCAGGGGTGTTGTAGGACAGGGAATTAGGGTGGGATGCTCACCCCTTTTGAAAGGAGGAGTCCAGCCCGTGTGTGGGGATGAGGGAGGGGGACACATAGAAGGTCTGCCAAAGTTGGCTGAGGTTGAGGCAGGGTCCCCAGCCCAAGGGGACTGGAATGTCCATGGACTGGTTGTCTAGAGGTTAGGCTCTGTCTAGCTCAGGGGCATCTGGCTACTCCCCCAAGGCTTAAAACAGAGAGGTTATGTACAGACACCCCCAGCCCTCATTTCTTTAACCTTCTCATTCTCTACAAGCCTCAGTTCCATGACAGTGCTGCCCCCTCCTTCCCCACAGCGGAACCCTAGACCTCAGCATCCCAAACTGCTCTTCCGCTGAAAGGATGGCTTCGGGTCTTCACTCTGACCACAACTGGCCCTCTATAGGCTTTCCACACACTTCGTCAACCTCACAGAGGCCTCCAACCTGCTGGCTCCCCTGTTTCCTCCCTTCCCATCAGCCATCACCTGTCTTCACTTCTCTCTCTACCCATCTTGGATTTGGGGGCCCATCACTTCAGCCACCCCACTCACTCCTTGGCTCCATTGTCCTGGATGAATGCACATGCCTGCACCCAGGGGTGACAAGCTGTGCAGTCATTCTGCTTGGTGCCACAAATCTCTAGTCTCAACTTCAGCTGGGGCTCCAGCACTGCCTACCTGGCAAATCTGCAGTGGTCGGCTGGCTCTCTGTACCCTACTACCCTCTCTCTCACTCTCAGCAGATGCCCTACTCTGTCAGAGAGGAACACCCTCTATTTTTGATCAACAAGTCTATATGTCCATTTGCATTTTTCCCCAACTTCATGTCTTGGAAGGATAACTGCAACAGCTTGCTGAATGTTTTTCCTAAACATCCCCCCTCCAAATCCACTTTTCATGTTGCGGCCAGAGTAATCCTTTAAAAACAAAAATCTGATCATGTCATCCCAGTTAAGATCATGTCATTTCACTTAATTAATTACATCAAAAGTTATGGAATACATATGTCTAGCACTGTACCCAGGCACTTGGGATACAACCAGAGTACAAAATGCTTCAGTGTAAAACCCTACATTGACTTTCTCTTGCTCATAATATAAAACTAAAAAAATCCTCAACCTGGCCTCCAAGGCCCCTGCCTACCTTTCAGCATGCTGCTTATCCCCTCGCCCTCGTCCATTTGGTCACACCGACTTCTTTTTATTCCTTTAAGTTGCTGTTAGACAGTAACCTAAGGCGGTAGCTGGGTGGGGATGAGAAAACGTAGACAGAAGAGAGGGAGCTGGAGGAGAAGGAATGACTTTTGAGTGACGGAGGTAGGACAGATGGGACAAAGCAACGGAGGGAGGTGGGTTGGGATCAGGAGCACAGACTGGGGTGCGGGATGTTAAAGAAAGAGGGAGGTTTATTTCTGACAGATAGTCAGGAAAAGAGGAACAGAGAAGAGACAAATTTTGAGGTGGAGAGGAGGAAAATGGAGAGAGTTCACACGTCAAGTGTCTGACAGTTTCAGCAAAGCAGGCAGCAAGGTTGTCTACTTGTGAAAGTGTGGAGGGGAAGGTGGTGGCTAGCCGCTTAAGGAGTGTGGGAAAGTTTGAATATGCAGTGAGAAATGCTTTAGGGAGCCAATGAGATGAATGCGAGGCCTATTGAACACTTGTTTATCGGGGGCCCAGGTGAAGTTAGCCAAAATGAGGGAGTAAAGGGCAATTGTTCAGAAATTGGGGATAGTACCACCAGTACTTTTCAAATAAACCTCCTATATTTTAAGGAGTAAAGTTGTTGAATGTTAAAGGCTTTTACTAAGTATGCACAGATATGGCATTTCCAGGGGAGGCAAGAAAGAAAGATTGCAAAGATTAAGGACCAAAAGTCAGTGAAGGCACTGAGGTTCGGCCCCAGGGAACAATGTTAGCAACCAGATTGCTGAGTATTCACTTTCATTCCAAGTGTTGAGATCTCCCTCCTGGGTCTGGGCCGTGCTGTCACAC